TGACCTGTGACGTGAATCGGTGTTGTCCCAAACTGGTGTGATGGCTCGGCCGAAGTCGCAGTGCACCCGTGCAGCACGCGCCACGGCTGCGGGCGCGCTCGACATTCCCTCCACCCCTCCCTGCGTCCCTCCGTCCCCCCTTTTTCCACGCCCTCCCTCCTCTTTACCCCGTGCCCACCCCCCTTGCTGGCTCAATGGTACGCGCAATCTCGCTCACCCGTGCGCCCACATTCTCAAGCGAACCCTTTGTACAATGCGACACAGAAGAATGGTATCCCATCACCCCACCCGGAAGGGGCTGGCACACCTTCCACGTCACAACGGGCAACACAGAGCGGCAGCAAACACGCACGCCTGCCTGGCCGCGTCGTGGGAGCTGGTTCGTGCTTGCTTGTTGTGACGAATGACGCTTACGGCTGGGTGCGTCCAATTAGCCGCCCAATGGGCCGTGCCCCGCACGCGCACCTCCACCCCAGCCACCGTCACGGGCATGATTCGCTCGGACGGCGGCATGGCGTGAGGCTGGTGCGAGGATGTGACGGTCCAGCTCGTGGCGGGCAACGAACGAACACACGCAAACATAGACACTCTCACACACACACACACACACATACACACACCAACACACACACACACACGCGCGCGCGCATACGTGTTATACATATACGCACGGCTGCGCAGAAGAACCTCAGGCGCTGTCGGTTGATGGAAGCGCCACTCGCGGACAAACTTACTCGAACGCGCCGTTATGAAAGGATACAGCCACGTCCTTGCAGGTAGATGCAGGTGGTGAAAAGATGAGGCACTGCAAAGCCAAAGTGCAGCGGCCAAGTAAGCTGCGGAGCAAAGCTCGACGTCAGGACTTGAAGCGCGGGCTGCAGTCTGGTGCTAATTCGCCAATAGAATGCAGCGGCCAAGCACCCCGCGGAGAGCAGCTCAACGCCAGGAGTTGATGCGCCACAGCAGGCACGAACACACTTTTTGCGTCGGCGGCTAGGCAAAAGGCAACTGCTCCAGCGGAATGGCAACTGGGGTCACGCTGTATACAAATATCAGCCAGCGTTGACTCCAAATAGATTAGACGAGCCAAATCAAGCAATCAGAGGAATCAATGTTTGGAATCCAGAACTCAGCAAGCAAGCAAGCGTGCAAGCGTGCAAGCGCGCAAGCGCGCAAGCAAGCATTGGAAAAATTTGCATAAGCATAGGCATAAGCAAAAGAGCGCTCAGAGGCAGTGCATAGGCATAGGCATGGGCATAGAGAGAGGCATAGTCATAAACATAGGCATAGGCGTAGGCATAGGAGCGAGAGGGGAGGGAGAGGCATAGGCATAGTCATAGACATGGGCATAGGCATAGGCATAGCCATAGGACTTCTAGAAGGGGGGCAACAGACCAATTAGTAAGTTTTAGGTTAGAAGACCTGTAGGGCAAGCCTATTTGCAGAATTAAGGCCGCGATGCACGGAAGGAGGAGGACGAGCCCCGGCGCGACAGGAAGAGAGGAAGCCAGGCCACTCAGAGCTGCCGGCTGCGGCGGGGGGAGCACCGAGGGGGAAGCAGCGTCGGGACAGAGCTGCACTGGGCTGCACTGAGCTGAAGCTGGGGGGAGGCAGCACGGAGCTGCAGCGCGTGGTAGGAAACACAACGAAGCAGAGCCCGACCCAGTGGACCGAGAGGCTCGAACACACATACATACACACACACACGCACGCACGCACGCACGCACGCACGCACGCGCACATACTGACACCCTCGATTGCATTACATTGTTTCTTTACTATGATATGTTCGATTTCGATACGCACGCACGCACGCACGCACGCACGCGCACATACTGACACCCTCGATTGCATTACATTGTTTCTTTACTATGATAATGTTCGATTTCGATGCGTTCCATCTGCGGCGTTTGTTAAATTTCGGGATGGGTGCGTTGCCCGTCGTCCGGAACTGCGCTCTCGCCCCAGCGCGGTAAAGCATTCCTCGTCGCTGCCGCCCCCCGGTATTCCCCCTCCTCCGCCTTCCGGTATCCTCTTCCTGCTACTCGGCATCCTGCTCATCCGGCACCCGCCTCCCCCCTCCTCCAACGCACTCCGACGGAGCTGTGAACGGCAGAGGGCCCTCCCCCCCTCGCATCGGCGGAGCTGCTGCGAGAGGTCCTCGCGCACCCGATTGTGCGCCTTGCGCGCGCGGCGGGGGGGGGCCCACCAGGTCAGGAGGAAAGCACGCATGCGCGCCTGCCTTTCCGAGACGCCTGCCCTAGGGCCGCGGCCCTCCGCTCGCGGAGGGCTGGGGAGCCGACAGCGGCTCGACGTGACTGGGAAAGGCCTGGTGGACATGTCCTTCCGCTTTGGATCCCAGGTCCCAGCCAGGCGACCCGCACCCCGCGTCGAACGCCTCTCAAGTGCAGTTTGCCGTGCCGCTGCGCCCCCGCTGCGGGCAGGCAGGCATCCATCCGCGCTGGGGCTGCACACACCCCTCGTCGCCTCTGGCATCCCGGGCCCGGCCAGGTCCAAGCAGACCAGCAACACGGGCAGCGGGGAGAACGGCAGGGCATGGCTCGGCGGCAAGCCGAGGGGGTGAGTGGGAGGGGGCAGGCCTTCTCGAAGGCGGCGGCGCTTCGCAAAGCCCTGTGGCCCGTCGAGAAGCCCTCGGCGGTTTCGGAAAGACTTCTCTCGGCGGCAAGTCTGGGAGGGAAAAGAGAAGGGGCGGGCCTTCTCAGAACACTCGGAAGGCCTTGGGCCATCTCAGAAGCTGTGTGAGCCTCCCCCCAAGATAAAACGAGCTGCTCGGAAGGCCGAAGGGTCTCTGAGAAGCCCCGCCGCCTTCTGAGAAGGCCCTCTCCTTCCTAGCTTCCCCCCCCCAAGCGCTCGCCGCCGATCCTGAAAGACCAGCGGCCTGGCCTGGGCCTTCTGAGGGGGCCACCCCGCCTGCCTTCCCCGCTTGGGCGCGCCGCCGAGGGGCACGCCTTCGCGCGGCAGGACAGGTGGAGGGCATCGGCGACGAGAGCTGCGCCAGTTTCCCTTCACGAAGCCTCAGCGCCAGCACCGCGGGGAAGGAACCGAGCCGCGAAGTGCGAAGACCCCGGATCGCCGAGAAAATTGGGCCACTGGGGGATGGGGGGGAGGAAGACGAGGAGGCGTCGTCGGCTCCCTGAACCTGGTGGCGCTGCGATCTCGGACTGCGTCTGTGTTTCGATCGACGCGGACTTTCTTGACCGTCCGACCTATTATCATCCTCTGCCTCTCCTCCTCCTCCTCATCATCCTACGGCTGCTCTCCTCGGAGATAATACGGAATCACAATGGAAATCCGACCATACTTACACATCAACGAACTCGTGCACAGGTATCTTCCTTGCATACCTCCCGAACCATCATGAACAGTACATCCTGTCCAACATGTGTGTAGCATCAAAGTGCTACCTATACTGAGCTGCCAAAAGACCTCAACCAGCCCGCACGCGCACCACTCTGCTTTCGAGGCCACGAACACCACCGTATTCCACTGGTGGGCCACATCGCTGGAACAGGCACGACCACCTGCACCGACACTCCTGGCAAAGGGCCTACGACATCTCATCAGAAAGAACATGATGGTTGCTGCCATTACGGAAAGAACTGGTACGGGTCGCTGCACCACTGGCATGGTCAGAATGATAGGGCCGAACGATCATTCACTGTCCCTGGGCGCGTTGCTGAAGGGGGCTTCCGCGGTGCGGAATTGTGGTTGCGATGTTGCGTTGTCGACATATCGTCCTTGGAAAATGATCATTGCTGATCCCAGCACCGGTGCACATTGCGCTGTTTCAAACGAAATGCCCCCCATGGGGCTCGCATTCTATGATTTTATCCGGGGGGGTTCGTGCTCAAACTGGGTTGGTGGGCCCCGGAAAGGAGAAACAAACACAAAAAAAATGATCCCGCCGGATATTTCCTCACAAATTATTCCAGGTTAGCTGCTACATTCTGTGGGGAACATTTTTGCTACCACGTGCCACTCGTCTAGGCGAAGCTCGAGACACAACAGAAGCCCTGGCGACAGAGGCGAAAGAGGGGGAGAAAAGGGCGGGAGGGAACCGAAGAAGGCTATGGAGTCCAAGGGTCCCCCCAGTTTAAACGGTTCGTTTCTGCAATGACGCACCATGTCATTCCGCTCACAACCGTCCTGCGCACGCACTGACAGGTTAACTGCTACATTCGGTGGGGAACATTTCTGCTACCACGTGCCACTCGTCTAGACGAAGCTCGAGACACAACAGAAGCCCAAGATCCCAAAGGGTTCACTGGGAGGGCGTGGTGGGCTATAAGAGGAATGCCGCCTCAAAGTCCATGTGGCGGCTCAGCAAGCAGTTCACCATGCAGTCAGCTAACTTTGCGGGGCAGGACGCGGCAAGGGAAGTCCACGTGGGCCCAGACGGGGCCCTGCCCTCGAGCACAACGTGCGGCTTCCCCGAGGCCGAACACAAATCCCGCCAAAACTTCGGCAACGCCTATGCAGCTTTCAAGTGCCCTGGGGATCAACGCCGAAAAAACTTTGTGCGCTTCCTCCAACGGACCCCGAACTGACACGGATCACAAATCCTACTATGCATGCAACGTTGTTTAGCCAAGTTGTGCAACTGCTCAGTTGACGGGGTGCTTCAGCACAAAAGGGGCGCCAGCCCGCACGGGGCATCTGATCGAGGTCAGAGCGGCTCGGAAAATGGCGCTCCCAGCGGCGACAAACACGGAACAAAGCTGAGCGACCTGGACGGCGGTCTCTGTCCGCCGCCGCGCCCCAAGACGCACAAGGGGGACCGAGCGAAGCGGCGATAACTTCCCCGCGGGAAAAGGCTTTCCGAATTCTAGCAATCACGACTGGACGCGTTAAATCTTCATCGGGGCCGTTCTGACTATCAAAACCGTGGTAATTGAAACCCCGTGCGAGGGCGGCTTGTCCAATCGAATCTGAAACCGAGAACAGATCTAAGACGCATCTGCGCTGGCGGCCCAGCCACCTCACTGGGTAATCACCCCTGCACCTTTTCCGAGCAGAATGTCCTCGAGCCGACTTTCGCAATCGTTCAGAGTGTCGCGCAGGGAGGCCGGCAGCAAGCTCCACGACTGTCCGAGCCGAGCTGCCTTCTCGCACCTCCGCGTCGACTTGGCATGTTTTCACTGCCCCCATTTTTGTATCTCCTCCAGCGTTCTGGAGTGCCTGGCCACGTCTATGCTCGGACCTGAGTGTCGAGTCTGGCAAGGAACACTGTGCTGCTCGACACCCAGGTCTTGCAGCGCCATCCGAAACATCTTCAGGAACTGAAAGTAACTGAAGTCCCACACCTCTTCCTCTGGAATCCCTTGCGCGAGCTCGCGGAAGATGGGCGTGGTACACTGAAACCAGCCGCTGTCCAGCATCACCACGACGTCTGCCAGACCCGCCTCGCCGCGCAGCGGCTTGCTGCCCGGGAAGGAGCAGCGACCACCAGCGGCACACTCCTGGCGCAGGCGTGATGAAATTGCCGCGCGTCAAGGAGAGCAGGTGGCTGGGTCGGAAGTAGCCCGAGACCATGGCGAGCAGGAAGATGGCCATCTGTAGCGCCCCACGCGCCACCATGCGCCAAGCCAGCCCGTACCAGAGGGCCAACGGCCAGGCCCGGCGGCTGCGCCCAGGCGCCAGCTTGCGCCAGCCCCGCAGGCAACGCCAAGCTCGCGGCGTCTTGGACTCGCCCTGCGTCGAGTACTCTGGGAACCTGTACATCAGGCCCGCCATCGCCTGGTCGCCCTTCGACGACTCGTGGCCGCTGAAGAACAACGCGTTCATGTAGTCCACGAGGGCATCGCCCACCTGCGCGGGCGAGCGCATCGGGCGGCGCGGCCCCGCGTCGCAGAACTCCAGGAAGGCGGGCCGCCGCTCCAGAAAGGTCTGGCCGTCCGCACTGCCCTGCAGCGCCTCCGCTCCGTAGGTCCTCTTCCTCTTTGCAGCGCGTCAGCAGCTCCTTCGCGCGCCTCTCGCCGGCTTGCAAGACCTGCTGCTCGTCGGAGGTGCTGCTGTCGCCGTCGCTGTCGGCCACGATCTGGCGCTGCCAGTCCTGGGGGGGGGCCGGCAGGTCCGCGCCCCGCGCTGGGAGCCGAGGCGTCGGCGGCAGCGCAGCCAAGCTTAGGCGAGCCTTCCAGTCCCGCGACCGCTGGGCCGCCGACGGTGTCTTCTGGCGGCGCGGCGCCGGGGTCAGCCCTGCGCTCGTCGGAGCAGGCCGCGGCAGCTGCGGGGCACTCGCCCCAGCTGGCGCCAGCGCAGGCCGCACCAGCAGGCGCCTCCGCTCGGTCGCGGGCAAGGGCGCGGGCAGCGGCTCCGTCCGCACAAGCTCCCGCCGCCGCATGCGAGGCGGGCCGAGGGTCAGAAGGCTCGGCCCTATCAAACGGTTGAGCCGACATGGGATACGAGGACGTCAGGCAGCGCTCAGAATACACAGGGCGAGAGCTGACCGCCGCCGTTCCGCCAAAAGCCCGCCGCCACCAGCGCAGCCCCGCGGGCCCCGCGGCGGGCTGCGGGGAGGACACCGTCCTCTGCCGCCAGCGGCCCAGCAGCGACCTCGCGAGAGCGGGCCCTCCCCTGCACGCGGCCTGCCTCGGCCACCATGCTGTGGGGCCAGCGGGTGGTAAATGCTGTCCCTGCCTCCAGGCTGCTGTCGGTGGCCACCACCAGCTCCTTCCACTGCAGCGCCCAGTCGCTCGCCAGGAAGATCAGCAGGCCTCGGAACACCTCCAGCTCCACGCGGGTCTCCAGCCAGAGCGTCGCGGGCGCGGAGTAGAACTTCCCCACGCAGGCGCAGACCGCGTGGAAGACGCCGAGGGCACCGCGCGCCAGCTGCCCAGCGCAAGCGCAGTGGCCCACCAAGACCTCCACGGCCCAGCCAGTCAGACGACATCTGCGAAGTAACCCTTTGATCGCCTGCCTGATCAGCCAGAAGCGCTTCTGAGTGACCCTGGTCTTCCAGCGCGACCCCGAAAACCTCGGCGCCTAGGGCCTCGGCCTCCACGCTCACGGAGCTGCCGCGAAACACCAAGCCCTGCTCGTCGAAGCCACGGACGAGCTGCTGCACGGCGTCGGAAACCAAGGGCCGCGAGGTAGAGGCGACGCCAAGGTTGTCCACGCAGACGTAGTGGGCAGCATGGCCGACAGGGCCCGCCGGCCCAAGACGGGCGGCCTGCCTCTGTCAGTCAGGGGGCCCCGTGCCAGATGGGGGCAAATCTCCATCACCTTGCGCTCGTTGATGCGCTGCGCGGCCCACGGGCCCCAGGTGAGGCCCATCGGGAAGACCCCCCAGCAGGGGCTCACCAGGCCATGCCGCCCCAGCGGGCAGCCCTCCCAGAGCTGGCCCTCGACGCCCAGGACGAAGGCGGGGACCTCGGGGAGGCAGATGTACTCGGTGAGCCAGCTCGGGAGCTGCAGACGGCGGAAGCAGTCCTTGACGTCCGCGACCCCCAAATGGAGGCCGCAGCCCTGCAGGAGCCGCTGAGCCCCCGGGCCCCAGGGGCCCATGCCCTCAAGCAAGGCGAACTGCAAACTCCACTCGGCCGAGGCCCTCCGCGGTGAGGAGCTCCACGCCGGGCGGGGCCTCGAAGAGCTCGTTAGCAGGCCGCGCGCCCAGGATGAGGCGCAGCCGCTTCCCGCTGTCCTTCCCCACGAAGAAGAGGCCCGCCTGGCAGCGGGGGCGGCGCGCCCACCTCGGCAGGCCACGGCGCCGCAGGTCAGCGACAAAATGTCGATGGGTCTTGGCGCTCCGCTTCAGCGCCGGGTCGAAGTACGGCATCACAGTTGGTGCCTGGCTTCCGTCGCGCAGCATGCGCTCGGGCTGCCCCTTCAGGAAGCGCTGGACCTCGGGGGGGGCCACGTCCTCAAACGGCGGGCACCCCTCCACTGTCTCGGCCAACGAGACGAGGTCCTTTCTGAAGGGCGCAACACGGGCGAGGCAACCCGCCCCATCGCACGGCGCATGCCCTCGCAGCAACCGGCGGACGGCCGCGCGTTCACTGAGAGCATCTGGACCCGGGTACCGCCGCGAGGCCAAGTCGCAGATCCGCTCCAAAACTTCGAGCTGCATCGGATCGGGGTCGAAGTACGTCGGTCCGTTCCGAAAGCCCGCGAGCCAGTTCAGTGCGCCCACCGCCTCGTTGCCCATCCTCAGCGCCAGCCGCTCGCGCCGCCAGAAGGCTCGACCCCGGATGGAGTCGCCGCCAGGCAGACTCGGCAGGCGCCAGCGCAGCAGCGGGAACAGCTCCCTGGCGAAACGCGAGGCGGCAAGCAGGCTCCGCTCCACCCCTGAATCCCGGCCGGGCACGGGGCCCCCCCCCGGACGCGGGGGCCGCCATGACCACATGGGGGGACATCGGCCCCCCCCCCAGCCTCCCCCCTTGGCGGCGGTCGTCCTGGCATGCCCTTGCCGTCGGGAACCTCCTCTTCGGCCTGGCGCTGCGGTCCCTTTCCGAGGGCGAGCACCGACTGGGCCTCCTGCTGCTCCTTGATCTCCCTGGTGGCGAACTGCAGCGTCTGCCCTGCAATGTCATCCGAGGAGGCTGCGCCCCACTCGTGCGCCCCATGTTCTTGCAGACCGCCAAGGCCGACGCGGGGCCCTCTATCGGCCGGTCGGGGAAGACCTCCTGGGTCGACTCGCGGCACGCCGGTATGAAGGACTTGAACCTCTCCCCCTGCGGGTCGAAGTCCACCTCGAGGACGCGCAGGTCTCCTCCCAGCGAGGCGCCGTCGGCAGCGGGCGGTGTCCTGGTGCCTCCGACGTCAGCAGCAGCAGCAGCATCCCCGTCGGGCAGCGCTGGACGGCCCAGGCGTTCGCGGAGGTCCGCAGAGGCTGACATCTCGGGGCTCGGGAAGTCGCGCAGCCCCATCTCGCCACGGCGTCGCGCCGCATAGCCCGGCAGGTCCTGCGCCAGCAGCGCCCCCACTAGGCGCAGGCCCTCGTCGCAGTCCCTGGCACGAAGCGCGCGTCGGACCGATCCACCGTGGTGCCGACGGCGGCGCTCGCGGTCGGCTCGGCCACCACCCAGATGCGTGCGTCCGCCAACGGCGCAGGGGGCTGCTTGCCACGCAGCCGATGCGCTCCTGGACGCGGCTCGCGGCCGAATAAGTCGGCCCAGGCCAGGAGCTCGCCGTCGGCGGTCGCCACCTCCAGCGGTTCCGCAGGCGCGATCCCAGGGAGACGTGCCTCGACCATCGCGCGGCCGCGCTCGATGGCCGCCCGCAGCTCGGCGCGTGGCATCGGCGCCCGGGTAGATCGGGCGCGGCCAATCTGGCGGGACGCTGCCATCCGCGGGCGCCAACGCAGCTCCCTCAGGGCCCGAGGCTGGATCCGCGCCCGTGAAGTCCTCCTCGTATTCGTCATCGTCTGGCGCGCGGGCCGCCCACGTGCCAGGGGGCAGGCTCGGGAAGAGGAGGACCCGCTCGTGGTCGACGGGGTCGTTACTGTAGCGGACGACGACCCGCTGCCCGAGCACCAGGTGCCTCCACCACTCCAGCCCCGCGTCGCGCGGGAGCAACGCCATCCTTCACGGACGCGTGCGTCTCCGCAGCCCCGCGAGCTCCACCGCACCAGCGCCGAGCGCAGCGGCCCACCTCCAGCAGCAGCGCCACCAGCAAGCCAGGGGCACCCGCCACGAGGACGCCCACGGGGTCCTCCTCCGCCGCCGCCGGCGCGAGGTCCACCAACGGGCAGACCGCAAGCGCCGCTGGGCAGGAGGGCGCCTCCGGGCACGGCGGGCAGGCCTCGCCCGGGTCCTCGGGCGGCAACCACGCAGGCGGGCACACCGCCTCCAGCACACAGGGCGGGATCCCCGATGGCGTGCCAGGAAGCTGGAAGGGCCGCGAAGCCAGGTGGAGCACTCCCAAGGCGAGGACCGCCCACGGTCCAAGAGGCCCCTGGGCCATCTCGAACCGAAGAAGGCTATGGAGTCCAAGGGTCCCCCCAGTTTAATCGGCTCGTTTCTGCAATGACGCATCATGTCATTTCGCTCACAACCTTCCCGTGCACGCACTGGCAAAGTCGGACTCTCGCGCGAGACTTCCTCACATAGTATGCAGGCGCCGCGCTTTCGCGTGAG